TAAAAATTTAACCAAAAAACCCCCAACCAACCAACCAAACAAACAAAAAGTTATATGCCAAGAGGACAGGTTTTCTGGGAGAATAATACATGCTATATGTGCTATAACAATTCGGATGAAGTTTGGGTAGTGGGGAAAGTTTTATGGAAGAGGTGTAAAACTTTAGTTGAGCTTAAAATAAGAACAGGATTTTTTTTTTTTCCTTTTTGTCTTTTTTCGTGTCTGGCAACGGATCGCAACCCTCAGTGTCGCGCCCGTACCGGACTGGGACCGGCAACAGGATCGCAATCCTCAGTGCTGCACCCGCACCTCGCTCAGCCAGTGAGCGGGAACCGGTCTGTATGTGGGATCCGAACCCTTGGTGGGAGCGCCGCCACGCTCCCAAGCGGCGCACTGTAGCAGTGCGCCACCGGGCCGGCCCTAAGAACAGGATTTAGATAAGAGAGTTGTTCAAGCCAGGGTAATCAAGGACCTGGATGTTCAGAGAAGTTAGCTAGAGAAAGGAAGATTTATGCAGGCAGTGGTAAGAAATGAAGACGAAGAAGCAGGTGTGAGTAATCTTGATGACATTTTTTGCAAAACCGTTTGTGTTTAAATTTTACCCTTTAGGTAGAGGAAAGGTCCAAAGTTTAAGGTTAGAGGTGAGATATGTAAAATGGTGTTTTTGGCTGATGAAAGGGAAGTCTCAAGTGGGAGTTGGTTCAGAGGAAATATGAGTTTAGCCCTTTTTAAAAAAAAATTAATGTTGTGGTAAAATATATATACCACAACATGTACCCCTTTAACCATTATTAAGTGTACAATTCAGTGGGATTAAGCACATTCACAATGTTTTGCAACCATTACCAGAACATTTTTATCATCTCAAACAGAAACTTTGTACCCATGAAACAATAACTCCTCATCTCTCCTTCCTCTATCCACTGGTAACCTCTAGTTTACTTTCTGTCTGTAAATTTGCCTGTTCTAGTTACCTTATACAAGTGGAATTATACAATATGTGTCTGACTTATTTCATTTAACATAATGTTTACAAGGTTCATCCATGCTATAGCATGTGTCAGAATTTAATTCCTTATTATGGCTGAATAATATCCCATTGTATGTATATATACATACCACATTTTATTTATTCATCTGTTGATGGACATTTAGGCCATTTCCACCTTTTGTCTATCAGTTATTGCTGCCATGAACATTGTACAAATATCTGTTTGAGTCCCTGCTTTCAGTTCTTTTGGGTATATATATCTAGAAGTAGAACTGGTAGATCATATGCTAATTCTATGTTTAACTTTTTGAGGAACCACCAGACTGTTTTCTGCACTGTTTTAAATTTCCACTAGTAGTGCATGGGGGTTCCAGTTTCTCCACATCCTCATCAAAAACTGCTTGTTTTCCTTTTTTTTTTTTTTCTTTTTTTTCCTTTTTGTCTCTTTTTTCGTGTCCGGCAACGGATTGCAACCCTCAGTGTCGCGCCCGTACCAGACTGGGACTGGCAACGGGATCACAACCCGCAGTGTTGCACCCGCACCTCGCTCAGCCAGTGAGCGAGAACCGGTCTGTATGTGGGATCCGAACCCTCGGCGGGAGCGCCGCCGCACTCCCAAGCAGCGCACTGTAGCAGTGTGCCACCGGGCCGGCCCTTATTTTCCATTTTTTTGATAGTAGCCATCCTAATGGATATGAGGTAGTATCCCATTGTGGTTTTGATCTCCCTAAAGACTAATAATGTTGAGCATCTGAAAAGCTTATTGTCCATTTTTATATTTTTGGAGAAATTTGTTAAAGTCTTTTGCCCATTTTTGTATTGGTTGTTCTTTTGTTGAGTTGTATGAATTCTTTATATATTGTGGAAATTAATCTCTTATCAGGTATATGATTTGCAAATATTTTCTCCCATTGTGTGGACTGTTGTTTCACCTTCTTGATAGTGTTCTTTGGTACACAAAAGTTTTCAATTTTGATGCAATCCAGTTTATCTATTTTTTCTCTTGTTACTCGTGCTTTTTTGGTATCATATCCAAGAGGTCATTGCCAAATGTAAAGATTTCTACCTGTTTTCTTTCGGGAGTTTTATAGGTTTAGCTGTTAGGTTTAGGTTCTTTGATCCATTTGGAGTTAATTTTTGTATATGGTGCAAGGGAAGGGTCCAACTTCATTCTTTTGCATGTGGATATCCAGTTTTCCTAGCACAATTTGTTGAAAAGATTGTCCTTTCTCCATTGAATGGTCTTAGCGCCCTTGACAAAACTTGTTTTACCACATGTGCTAGTGTTTCTTTCTGGGATCTCTATTCCATTGGTCTTTATGTCTGTCATTATGCCAGTACCACATTGTTTTGATTAGTGTAGCTTTGAAGTAAATTTTAAAATCAAAAAGTGTGAGTCCTCTAACTTTGTTCTTTTTTTTCAAGATTGTTTTGGCTATTCAGGGGCCCTTGAGATTCCATATAAACTTTAGGATGGGTTTTCTATTTCTGAAAGATTCCTGTTAGGATTATGATAGGGATTGCATTGAATCTGTAGAGTGCTTCAAGTAGTATTGTTGTCTTAACAATGTTCAGTCTTCCAATCCATGAACGTGGGATGTCTTTCCATTTATTTATGTTTTCTTTAATTTCTTTCAGTAATATTTGGTTGTTTTCATTGTATAAGTATTCCACCTCCTTGATTACATTAATTCCTAAATATTTTTTTTCTTTTTGATGCTATCATAAGTGGGATTGTTTTCTTAATTTCCTTTTCAGATTGTTCATTGCTATTGTATAGAAATCCAATTTAATTTTGTGTGTTGATTGATTTTGTATTCTACAATTTTGCTGAATTTATTAGCTCTAAGAGAGAGAGAGAAAGAGTGAGAGAGCAAGCGCATGTGTAATCTGTAGGGATTTCTACATATATGATCATGTCATCTGGGAACAAAGATAGTTTTACTTCTTTTTTTCCAATTTGGATGACTTTTTTTTTTTTTTATTTGCTTAATTGTTCCATCTAGAACTTCCAGTACTATGTTGGATAGAACTGACAAAAGAGGGCATCCTTATCTTGTTCATGATCTTAGGGGAAAAGCTTCCAGACTTTCACCATTGAGTATGTTGTTAGCTCTTGGTTTTTAATATTTGGCCTTTATAATGTTGAGGAAATTTCCTTATATTTCAAGCTTGAGTGCTTTTATCATGAAAGGATGTTGAATTTTGTCAAATCCTCTTTCTGTATCCATTGAGATAATCATGTGCGATTTTTCCTTTATTCTATTAATGTGGTGTGTTACATGGATTTTCATTGCTGAACCATCCTTTTGCTCCAGGAATAAGTCTCACTTGGTCATGGTATATAAGTCTTTTAATATGCTGCTGAATTTGGTTTGCTATTTTTTTTTTTTTTGAGGATTTTTTAAATCAGTATTCTTCAGGGATATTGGTTAATAGTTTTCTTGTAGTGTCTTTGGCTTTGATGTCAAGGTAATTCTGGCCTCTTAAAATGAATTAGGAAGCATTCCTTCCTCTTTAATTTCCTGGAGGTGTTTTAGAAGGTTTAATGGTAGTAATTCTTTAAATACTTGGTAGAATTCACCAGTGAAGCCATCTGATCCTGGGCTTTTCTTTGTTGAGAGGTTTTTCATTACTGATTTAATCTTCTTACTAGTTATATTTCTATTCAGATTTTCTGTTTGTATATGAGTCAGTTTTGATAGATTGTGTGTTTATAAGAATTTGTCCATTTTGTTTAGGTTACCAATTTGCTGATATGCAATTTTTCATAGTACTGTATAATTCTTTTTATTTTTGTAAAATACATTGTAATGTCACCACTTTCATTTCTGATGTTAGTAATTTGAGTCTTCTCTCTTTTTTTTCTTAATCTAGTTAAAGTTTTGTCAGTTTTAACCTTTAAAAAAGAATTAGCTTTTGGCTTTGTTGATTTCTCTACTGTTTTTCTCTTCTTTTTAAAATTTATCTCTATTGTACTCTTTATTATTTACTTCCTTCTGCTAGCTTTGTGTTTAATTTGCTCTTCATTTTTTAGTTTTTTAAGGTGTACAGTTGGGTTATTGATTTGAGAGCTTTTTTATTTTTTAATTGTGTTTACAGCTATAAATCTGCCTCTTAGCACTGATTTTGTTGCATCCCATAAGTTTTGGTGTGATGGGTTTTTATTTGTCTCAAGATGTTTTTCTAATTTCCTTTGTGATTTTTTTCTTTGATTCATTAGTTAAGATTGTATTATTTGGTTTTCACATATTGTGAATTTTCTACTTTTCCATCTGCTGCTGGTTTCTAGTTTTATTCCATTATGATCATAAAAGATACTTTGTATGATTTCAGTCTCTTTAAACGTATAAAGACTTATGTGCACTTGAGAAGAATGTGTATTCTACTGGTGTTGGGTTAGGTTAGCTTTTGACATTTGAGAATGTAATATTTGATAATACACGTAGGTAGAGATGTGAGATTTTCAATCAGGAGGAAAGCCAAAGGAAAAAGTTTGTTAGTGAGCTGTTGAGATCACAGGAGTGAGTGATTTTCTTTTGAAACAGAATTTAAAGCAACAGAACAGCCTTGGGTATAGTCTTAAACTTACAAGGCTAAAGGTTGAGTATAGGCTGGAGTGTGAGAAAAGAATGGAACAATTTGACATAGACCATAGCCAAGATAGTATAATTAAAGATAATGTCAAAAAGAGGATATGATCAGCTGAATTCAGTGTTGAGAAGTCAACTACCTTGTTTGGGAAGGACAGTTTCTTATGTTCCTTTAATAATTCAACAAAGAAAGCGAAGAGTGGATTCTGTTTTGTTCTGTTTTTTCAATTTGAGAAATGTTTAAATGATGACAACTACTTTAATGAAATTGGAAACCACAAATATACATTCTTTATAGTGTGATTTTTTTTTTAGAGGCAATCTATTATTTCCTTTGTTACTTGCTACTTCGTTAGATAAATATGAAATAGAAGAAACATCATGTATTTTCTTATTGCCATATTTCAATTCCATAGAAGTTGTTTCTGGACAGTCTACGAAAAGCACTTGCTGGCCATGGAGGAAGCAGGCAGCTGACAGAAAGTGCTGCAATTGCCTGTGTCAAACTGTGTAAAGCAAGTACTTACATCAATTGGGAAGATAACTCTGTCATTTTCCTACTAGTTCAGTCCATGGTGGTTGATCTTAAGGTAACATGCTTATTCTTTCTCTACTACAAACTTTAAGAAAACTAAATGAAAAATAAACTTTTAGTAAATGTTTATGTCAAAGATCGTTGCTAACACTAAAGTTCTGAGTCACCTTTGATAATAAGTTCATAAGACCTGCTTTTGTGGTTAGTACATTTATCAGCCTAAATAGACTAAGAATATGAAGAAAACACAGAATTAACCAGTTTTCTTAAATTAGCATAAATATACAGACTTGGATTTAAAATAATGTAGAAATTAGGGCCTAAAAGGAACCATCTGTGGTGTAGTAAGAATTGTGTCAGATTGATGAACCACAATATTAGCGCTTTGTGCTTTTTCTGGAAACTGAATGTTATTACCATCATGTATGGATAATGTGTTGATGTTATCACGTACTAGTAAAAAAAAAATACTGCATGACTATTTAAAGGTTTTTGTTTTCTATTATGATTTTTATAGAATCTGCTTTTTAATCCAAGTAAACCATTCTCGAGAGGCAGTCAACCTGCAGATGTGGATCTAATGATTGACTGCCTTGTTTCTTGCTTTCGTATAAGCCCTCACAACAACCAACACTTTAAGGTGAGAGCATTGGTTTTTATCCAACTACGTGTATTAATGCTGTTATCCTTTATAAATGTGAAAAGACTAGAAAGATGAATAGGTATATCTTTATTAGTATTTCTCAGTATTACATATTGATGTTAATTTCAAGATTTAAAAATTTTATTCTATTTTTTAAAACTTTCCTTTTGCTATTCCTTTGGTCTTCATTCGTGTTACTGAATATTTTTCTCATAGAAGTAATCTACTATTTTTAATTCCCTCTGTAGATCTGCCTGGCTCAGAATTCACCTTCTACATTTCATTATGTGCTGGTAAATTCACTCCATCGAATAATCACCAATGTAAGTTCAAAAGGTATTGCTAGAATACTAAAAAAGATTTTTTTTTTCTTTTTATATGTATTTCTTTTTTTTCTTTTTAAGGAAGATGCTCTTGGTTTTGAAAAAGGTTTTGAACTCAGATATATGGTACAGGAGGATTTCTCTGTAGTGTTTATATCTAGGAATTGACATACAATTGTATTTTTCATATTTGATCTTGGCCTTGAGGAACCTTATTGAGGAAAATGTAGTTAATAAGATCTCTTGGAAAGCATAAATCTAAAACATTTTATTTAGATCAAAAGCCCTTGAGAAAAATGTGACTGAAAATATAATTTATATTTTCATTCCAAAGCGCTTCATATATTATTTGAATACTCTAGCTCTTTGCCAGCATTTGATACATTCTGACTTATCACCATAGTAAAAGTAATAGTATTAATGTAAAAGTAATAGTATTTATGTTGTAGACCAATATAGCACATTTACAGAAACTGTGCTTTAAAGGTGAAACTGTTTAATTGTACTTTTTAGTCCTCAAACAAAATGAAATATTAATACTTAAAAAGAGATATTCACAAGATACAAAAGTGTATTAGACAGAGTAAGTGAACTCATTAAAAGGTACTTGTCGTGAAACCTTAAACTCCGATGTGTGTTCATTAGGTAGAAAGACAGCAAAACCTTGCCAGATTTGGATTGTGGATTTTTAAAATTCTGTTTTTCTAATTACAAATGATTGTATATTGAACGTTCTCGGGTGGTTTTTTCCCATAGTTTCGCTTTTATCCATTGGTAGATATTCACACTTACGGGTAAATCGGTCAACTTTTTCCTGTTTTCTTCCCTTAAAAAGGACTTTTAATTATGGATATCTAGTGTATCTGCCTTGTTTATAATCAAATTCCATTTTAAGACTTTCCGGTGAGTTAAAAATACCTCTCAGCCCCCCATTTGCCTCAGAGGTAAATGCTGACCACATTTTCTTTTACTCATTCCCGCAGGGGAAATAACTATTGATAAAGCTATTTAGTGACTAATTCAGTTTTTTTCAATGGGGTGTTAGTACTTTGGGAGGACAGTTTGTTGTTGTGCAGGACTGCTTCGTGTACTGAAGGACATTTATCATCTCTGGTCCTCATTTTATTAAATGCCAGTTCTGCTCCACCCCCTTACCCCCCACCCTCCAATCATAATGAACAACTAAAAATGCTTGCGGGAACAATACCTCTCTCAGTCAAGTATCACTGAGTTAAACTATAGGTAGTGATAAACTATAGGTAGCAGTAACATTGAATACCCTTTGTTCCAAAAAGGAAAGTTTAGTGAATCTGATTGTAGATAAGGTGTGTTTATATTAAAAACTTAAATTGTGAAATATTTTTGTCTACAATTGAATATATAGAGCACTTTCAAGCATGGACTTGGCACTGCTGTAAGTGGCTGAGCTGCTCCTTTCTGAGTTCAAGCATGCCTGGAGTGGTACTTCATGCATGCCTCAGTGTACTTGGTGAAAGTGGTTGTGCATCCTCCTATACTTAATGAGTACTGCATGTGTGAAGGTGAAGTGTGTCTGTATCAGAGGTCAAGTCAATATGAAAATCTGTTTTTATAAAGAAAAATACTATATTGACTAAATTTTAAATACTAAGCCTCAGTAACTCCTTAATAAAATAGCTTGAAAAGGAACATAAATATTAGTCCAAAGTATCTTTTAAAGTTTTACCTTAGATATTGTTTGGTAAATTGTTTCTTTTTAGTGTTTTTCCCCTTTTGACTTGAGGCTAATAAATATTGAATCTGAAATACTTGCTGACTGAAAAGGACTATTTATAAACTAAGTATGCAAATTTATGGAATTGACTATTATAGAGTCTTACTGAAGACAATTATTATGAAAATATTTTATATCTTGAAATAACATGAAAATTTTCTTTAATATTTGGATTCCTGATCTTAAATTCATTTGTAGTGTAAGTACTCCTCATAAATTCTGCTGTTCCATGGTTATTTAGTTAGTTTGCACATTTTTAACAATTATCACATTTTCAAACAAGACAAAAGTTATACTGATGTGTTTCTGAGGGTTTATGTAGAAGTAGTAATGGTGTTTGGAGTTTTATGAAACATATTCATACTCAGTTCATAGGTACTGTGTTTAGACCTAGAATATTCCACTGTTTCTTCTCAGGAAATCTTCAAGTCTATTTACTATGTGAATTTCATTATAATGCAAGTTTTTAGTAGTTTCTAAAATGGTACTTATACTATCACTTTTTTATTATAATGTGCCATAGAGATGAATTATGGGTATAAGATATGTTAGTTATATACTTAATCTTTTTAGGCTTCCTTTAGGTTAAATTACATATGTAATTGGGACATGTAAAAAGCAATGTATACATATATGAACCAATTATCTTAGCCATCACTAATTACAAGTTATAGCTGGAATAGTACTTTATTTCTGTTTTTTCCTTATGGCAGTTTTTTGTAATTTACTTAAGGAGAGTTCACAGGTTGAGAATGAGGTGATGTCTATATACTAAGTGGTTGTAGTTGAAGGAGTTATTTCCAAGTCATGTGGAAATTATTTAATCTCTGGAGGAATTGCCACAATTTACTCATATAAGTATTGCTGTTTGTTTGACAATAAACTTAGTATTTTCAAGGAAAAAAGAATAAGTCTACTTTAATTGACTAACTTCAGGAAGAACACATTTAGTAACTGCTCAAAATACTAAACTTTTTTACCAACTACGTGATGTCTAGTTTTTAATGCCTGTTTTATTTGAAAGTGTATCTTTACTTTAAAATGAGTGAATTAATCTATTATGAAAAATGGAAATTATGAAAATTACTAAATCTTAAGCCTAATGTTTACTTTATAGAGTACACCTGGTACTACAATACAGTTTCAACAGTGTATTAGTCTGTTTCTGTTGCTTATAACAAAATACCTTAAACTGGGTAATTTATAAAGAAAATGAAATTGATTGCTTACAGTTTCAGAGACTGGGAAGTCCAAAGTCCAGGGAACACATCTGGTGAAGGCTTTCTTTGGTGGTGACTTCAGTGACAGCAGGGTATCACATTGTGAAAATGGTGGAGCAGAGAGAGCATAGTCTTCACTCTCCTTTTAAAGCCCTCAGAACCACGCCACTGACCACCATTATTAATCCATTCACTATGGCATGGTCCTACAATCTAATCACCTCTTCAAGGCTCCACCTTTCAGTTACCATAATAGGGTTTCCTACCCTCTTCACAGTCACAGTGACGGTCAGGTTTCTAACACATAAAACTTGGGGTACACAATTCAAGCTTCAGTGAGTTTGTGGGGGACATAATTCAATCCACTACAAACAGCTATCAAAAATGACACAGAAATTTGGATAGGATATTATATGGGATGCATATCTCTTTTATTTATCAGTTTCTGACAAAATTTTATGGGATCTGTAGGGTGAGAAGACCCTTCACTCATGCACCTTGTGATTATCCAGCTTTTTGTTACTTTAAGCTGATTAAACAAGCTGTATGATTTGGTAAATATATGGAAATCAGGTTGCATCGGTTGCTTTAGACAAGTCAGATGATCAAATTGGCCAACGTTTGAAGAATCCGTTATATAACAAACCAAATATCAAACATTTGTAGGAACTAGCTTAAATAATGTAAGAGTTTAGGGAAAAGCATTAACAGCTATACTACCCCCCAAAAAGTATTTCCTTCCCTCACAGCTTTGGGATCAGGATCCCTTCCTGAATGGAGTTCAGTGTTCAAATTGTGTATCGTAAATTGGTTTTGTATTTTACCATCCAATAGAGTTTGTAATACACAGTTTTGGGTAAGATAGTATAACTTGATGCTACTCAAAATATTCTGAGAATCATGAATAAATAAATTAAATATTGGGACTTTAGCTTAGTTTTGAATAAGAAATAATCTGGGAATAAGATATGAAGATATTAAATCTCCCTTATTTATTGTTTGAATATATTATTGTTTTTACATATGTTTCTTATAAAAGGAGTATTATAAATTGGAAGTGTGTATCTTAAGACATTCCATTTCATGCATACTCTCCATATATAGTGAAAATTCATCCAGTCATTTTTGTATTAAGTGATAGACAAACTTTATAGATTTGATGATTTTTCATAATTGCCATTTTTTATAATAAATCAATTCATTCATTTTAAAGTAAAAGTTAAAGGTACATTTTAAAATAAAATAGGCACTAAAAACTAGACATCAAAGATAAACAGCATAAACTGAAAAAAATTTACATAATATAATTTCTTAAAAAATATTTAGCTAGGATCAGTTTGTCTTTGTTTATGGTGACCATTAGTCTTCCATGTATTGTGCTATCACTGCATATCAATTTAAGATTACAGGTTTACTAATAGCTTTGTCTCATTTACTAATTTCATGTTGTAATTATCGTTGTTTGTAAGCATATAAGTAATGATTTACCACATATTCTTTCAATGTTGTGTTAAAGCACTAATCTTTTTTAAAGTTTTGATAATAGCATTCTTGTCTGGGAAAGTACATACTATATATGCATGTGTTTCTGAACTGTGTAAAACATTAAACTTTAGAAAAAGAAAAAAGATTGGCTACAGAATTGATCTCTAAAGACATTGTTTTTCAAATTTGCTAGCTTATAGTGAGAAAAGACAGTCTCATATGCACATGCTCATGAAGTGGGTAATTTGTCTCATGCTCTTTATTATATTTTAAAATATAATATGTATGGGTTAATGTTTGGATTAAAGACATCATTTGACGGCTTTGGAAATCATGGTGTGTGTTTGCATGGTCTTTGAAAGTTTCTGACAAAAGGATAAAATTTAAGACTACATTGATAACCAGAGCATATGATTTATGTAATTTTTTACTTTTTATTCCTTATGGTCTTTTTCTTCAGTCTGCATTGGATTGGTGGCCTAAGATTGATGCTGTATATTGTCACTCAGTTGAACTTCGAAATATGTTTGGTGAAACACTTCATAAAGCAGTGCAGGGTTGCGGAGCACACCCAGCAATTCGAATGGCACCGGTAAGATACACCATGGGTTTTTAAATAAATCATGTGTTTTTAATATCTTTATCCCATTCCTACTGCTTTATTTTAGAGAATTGAATAGGTCCTTCCTTTCCTATAAATGTAGTATGTTGTATATTACAATATTGTTGAATAGTAGTTGATAATGTTTGTTTTCCATTGTTCTCATGAGTTAACTTATTTTTCTTAGAGAAATTTTCTCATGAAATGGTGTTAAAGTCTTAATGAACGTTACCTGTTTCTTTCTTTTTTTAGTTCCTTTTTCCTTTAAGTTTTCCTTATGAACCAAAATATTTTTATTAGCGACTCACCTTTTGGGGATGAGTCAGGGAAGCTGACGCCTGGGTTAGAGTGAATATTCCTGCCAATGCACATTTTAGCTCATTGGATGCTGAATATTACACATAGGAAATTAGAAATAAAATTTTAAATTTTAAATTTAAGATAAAAATATTTCATTTTTCAGTAAATATACTTTGAAAATTTAAAAATGATGGCCAATATTGAAGTTTGTTTAAACTTAATAAAAGCAGGTTGTCTTCAAAGTAGGTATTCTAATGGATTATTATTAATATGGACTTTTAAAACTCACATGGAATCAATTCAAATAATTATAGGATAATTATAGGTTTGTGTAAGTCATTTGGTATTTATGTATAGCAAGAGTATTATAAATGGCAACTCTTGACATTGATTGGTGGTGCTTTGTCTTCTGCTTCTTATTTTCTATTCTTATTGGCTGCTGTCGCTCACATGGTCAGATGCCAACCAGTCACTGTTTTGCATGGCAGTGGGCTTCTGTGGCTGTAAGTATGACCCATTGTAACTACCTCAGAAAAGTCCTTGGTTTCTTTGACTTTTCTGTGCATAGTTACTATTGAAGTCACATCATGTCATTTCAAATGAAAACGTAGCATGTTTTATCTAGTAAATTAGCCATTTCACACTTATAATTTAAATAGCTTTCTCCCTGGCATGCTTCTCTTTTTCCATGTTTTCTTAGTAAAATATTTTGGTTTTATACAATTGTGGTTCACTCTTATCCAGTGGTCAGAAATTGTTCTTAGAGATTGTTTGTTGTAAATATTCAAATAGAGAAGTTTTCTGTACCATATGTTTTGGGATTATTTAGCCTAAAAAAATCATAGCCAAAAGAGCATGGCAATGATATTTTATTAAATAAATTTTAAATTACAAGGTTATCTTTTAGTGGACTTTTTGTAATGCAAAGTACTTAATTTTTTAAAAAGGTGAAAAAATTTTCTCTCCAGGTATAAGTTAATTGGGGATCAACATAAATAATAGCTATTTAGATGTTATTAAGTAGACATTACTTTTTAAAAGTTTTAGAAAATTACATGAAATAAATTGTTTAAAAAATTTATCGACCTATTTATTCATTCTCGATATCTTCTGGGAAGTTAGAACTTTATCTGACTTTTTTTTTTTTTTTTTTTTTTTTTTTTTTTTTTTTTTTT